GAGGCAAGGTGGTCGTCCCACCCGGGTAAACGAACAACTCGAACACGACGAGTTTGCGAGTGCGTGGTCTTCGCACCGGGACCGCTGTGGGTATCCTCATCGTCATCCTCTCCGCCGCACCCAAGTTCACCGAAATCATTGGTCCCGAACGCCAAGACGATATCCGACATTGCTCTTTCCCCCTGCAGCCCACCACCCTCTGAGCGACTACGGGATCGGGAGCGAGAAAAGGAGATGAAACTCGTCGTCCATGCGCATCCTACATGTCTCGCCGTATACTCGACTCGATCACCTACGGGCAGGCCAGCAGCGGCAAGAAGCAGTCCGAGGTCGAGCCTGTGCCATTTATCGAGGATCCCGGGGTCGAAGGTGGTGGATGACGGGAATTGCGGACCGAGTTGGCCAGAGGAAGGGGTGCCGGTGACGTATACGTGTCCGTTTGAGCGTACGAGGAGGGAATGACCCGCTCCGGAGGCGAGGGCGGTTATTGGTGCTTCTTCTTCCTCGGGCGGGGAGGACAAACTGCAAGCAAAGACGCACGGAGCGAACCGGTTCACGTCCGCCCTGTGTCCTAGGCCGAGTTGCGCTGATCCGTTGGAGCCCGCTGCGAATAGGTGGAGGCGGGCGGGCATGGGTTGGGTTCGCTGATAGGGGAATACAAGGCAAGGCGGTAAAGAGGCACGTTAAAGTGAATAGGGGAAGACTGATAGGGAGCATGGCGCGATCATCTGCGCGGATGCAAATCACACTGACCGACCTGGAACGTATCTACATCTCCTTTTCATAGGTTGACAGGTCCCTCCCTCCCTTTTCATTGGTTGGCTGGTCTCTTGGTTCGCTCACCGCCACCATGACATCCATCATCCGCCTCCAATCATCGTCCCCTCCAACTTCACCCGATGGATCAACAACCGACCATTCGTTTTCATTCACACTCGCACCGGTTCCTCCCTCTCCGGCAGGGTACGGCGGCGGAGGAGGAGGCTCGATCCCTCCTCCGATACCGCCCAGTACGAGGTTCCAGGTGCAAGAGATGAGGATGTTTGGTGCGAGGCCGATGGAGGAGGGAGGGAGGGAGCAGGGGTTGTGGAGGTGTGGCGGGCGTGCGGGGAAGGGGGGGTGTGGGAGGGTGGTGATGGCGGGTGGGTTGGCCGGGCATGAGGGTGAGTGCGCGAGTCTTCGAGCGGAGCGAGTAGGATTCTCGAGCGAAGCGAGTCTCCCCCGAGCGCAGCGAGAATATTCCCGAGCGAAGCGAGAATCAGTCTTCCCGAGCGAAGCGAGATTCAGTGTCTTCACCGAGCGGAGCGAGAATCAGTCTCCTCCGAGCGGAGCGAGATTCAGTCTCTTCCGAGCGAAGCGAGAATCAGTCTTCTCCGAGCGGAGCGAGAATCAGTTCTTCTCCGAGCGGAGCGAGATTCAGTCTCACCGAGCGCAGCGAGAATCAGTTCTTCTCCGAGCGGAGCGAGAGTCAGTCTTCCCGAGCGAAGCGAGATTCAGTTCTTCTCCGAGCGGAGCGAGAATCAGTGTCTTGCGCCGCAGGCTACCAGTCCGGAGAACTCTCTTCCCGAAGCCGCCGTAGGGCGGCTGAGAGTCAGTTCTTCGACGAGCGAAGCGAGAATCAGTGATTGCCTCTCCGAGAGCGGCCTAGGCCGCTCGAGCGTCTTGCATTCATCGAGCAAAGGAGAAATCTCGTATAACACCGAGAGCAGCGAGGATCCGTGCATTTGCCTTTCTGAGAGCCGCGTAGGCCGCCTTCAAGGCGCGCTCGAGCGCGAGCATCAAATTCCTACAAAGTCCCGTTTTCGAGGCTGCCCTATGTCGGTCGAGCGTAGTTGCCTGCACCGAGCGCGAGCATCGACGTCTTGACCTCTTCGAGCGAGACTGGCTCCTTTACTCGAGCGTGAACAACGGCGAGTCTATCAGTATCTCTTTGGAGTTGTCGACGCGTCCAAGACTCGGCTTCCTGGCTCTCCGAATGCTGTTGTAGGACGGCCGAGGCGTGATTGCTTCCATCGATCGAGAACGCGGACGTCTAGACTTTTTCCCGAGGACGACATCGACGTGGTACTCGCGGGTTACCTCTTGCCGAAAACGCAGGCGGCCAAACACCCGTGTACATGCCGCGACGACCGATTCGTTGAGCAGGCGACGTTCGTTCCACTCGCCGAGAGTTCACACAGACTGCCGAAGAAAGTGCACGTGGATGCCTTTGACCAAGGCAGAGACGAGAATCAGAGAAAGCACAAACGATCCGACGAAGTAGGCTGTCCGCAGTGTCGCCTGTCTTTTGGGGCGACTGTTGGACGGTCTGGTGTCACCGGCTTGACCGGATTCGAGCAGCAGGATCTGTAGCGGAAAGACGACTGTTTAGCAAGGTGGCACGTTTCACAGAGCCGTTTTGCGAGAGTAACCCTGCTCGTCGAGCAGTAGCGCAAGGTTAGGAGGTGGTGGTGGTGGTGGAAGTCATTACAGGCCGCTTGAAGCCAGTAGACGTAGTCTGCATTTTCCGGTGCGAACATTGGATGACGACCGACACGCTGTTGTTTCCGTGACACACTTTAGATTAGATGCTAACCCTTCCGGCCTCCTATTCGCAGCGAACTGTCCGAATAATGCCCGAATCGATCCCAATTCAGGAGCAAGAAGACCAGGAGTCGCCACAATTTCTGGACCGGGTTCAGGATACAAAAAGGGCAAGAATGGACTAAAGCGCGGCGAGAGCGAGGGTAAGCACGTTTTGTCGCGCCTCGTGTCCACACGCTGATCTGACCTGCACAACAGTGTCGCAATCGCCATCCGAAACACCCACCAAGAAACGTATCAACTACTCCCCCTCACGTTCAGTCGGCAGTGTCGACACATCCTACCCGCTTGCATCGACAGCCGCCAGCATCAACGGCATTGATCACGCCATGACGGGCATGAGCGGTTCTCAGTCAAACAACAATGGTAAAGAAAAAGACAAGACGGTCGGAGTGATTGATTCGGATGACGGGCGGATGTGGCTTGAGAACGGACGCAAGGAGACCAAGAAGCAAATGAGTAAACGTCTCGCCGAGGAGAGGAGGGTACAGAAGCGCGAGGAATTGGCCGAGAGGGAGCGGATCAAGGCAGGCGTATCGACGGGGCAGGTCACGTTGACCGTTCCGGATCTCAAGTTGAAAAAGACCGGTCCCAAACGTGAGTTTGACAGACTGGTGATGTCGTGCATCTCGACTAACGTTTACATTGTTCTCTACAGCGATCAAGGAATACGAACCAGACAAACACTGCGGTGTACCCAATGCCGGCACCCCGTGCGTGCGAAAGCTAGACTGCAAGATACACACTGTCGGCGACAAGCGCAACGTTACGGGACGGACCATGTCGTTTGACGATTGTCTGAGGGTATACAAGGGTGAGGCGCCGCGTGGACCCGATGCACCTGCCGGAGAACCGAAAGCGGGAAGCAAAAAGGCGAGACGGCGGCCAGGACATGGAATGGACGATGCCGCGCGACGGAAATTTGGGTTCCTTGGTCTTTCTGGCGTTGGAGATGCGGAACAAGAGGAAGATTGGTCGGCGCATCCGTTGGCGGCTGTCCACGAGTTTGCCGAGCTGCTGGATTGTGTGAGGAGGGAGAACGTGCTGCTCGAGGGCTTGGTGAGGCGCCGTGCGTGTGATGAGTTGACGGGGAGGGTGGTGGATGAGCCGAGCGCAAGTCCGGATCCAGCGGCAAAGGGCAAGAAGGCAGCAACAGCTGCAGAACCGGGCACTGTACCGCCACCATCTCAACCAGAGACCCAGATCAAAGTGGAGTCAACGTCGACAGGTAGCGTGGATAAACCGGCGACTCAGGAACCTACACTCGGCGGATTCGATTTCCTCGATGTACCTCCGCCGCCTGTTCCTGCACCCAGCCAAGGAACAAAATCCTCCACGCAACCCGCTGTAGATGAAACTCCTGCAAAAGCCGGTGCCGTGGCCAGCAAATCTGCCGCACTTCCAACACCAACGTATGGACCCAACGTCCTCGCTCGCGAAACGTTTGCAGGTGGAGCAACGACCGGGTCGTGGCACCTTGATCGACGCAGGATGTTGGGCGCGGAGAAGTGTTTCGGAGATATCTTGGCGCAGTTGCAGGGGTGATGGGACGGTCGTGTGGGGGTTTATGGTAGGGGAAGACGACCGCGCAACAGAGTGCTACGGACGCTGTTTATCATGTTTATTGCATTGGTTGTATTGATTAAAATAATGTTTAATCGTTGGAAAATATACTGTTTTTTCTATCCGACACCAGTGACGTGCACACAGTTCCCAGAGCGAGACTGAAAGCTCGACCGACTTTGTGAATATGGCTGAGAGCAAGCGTGGCAAACCCCAGTGCAAAAAGACAGGTCGACAACAGGCATGCACGCCCAAAAAGAAATGTTTCCCCATCGGGGAATTGAACCCCGGCCTGGTGCGTGAGAGGCACCCATCCTAGCCACTAGACGAATGAGGATATTGATGAAGCGAGCATGACGTCGACAATTCATAACGTAACAAGACGACACTTCCGCAATCTCTCTGCTGACCGATAGTGAAACTCCCCCTGTGGAAGCTCTGGGAGCTGCGCAAGTTACTACAATGTGCTACAGAGAATTTGTGTAGTGATACGACAGATATCGTTCGAAAACATGAAACATGAAACCAAGGTTGTGGTGCACGATACCTCGTGTTATGGAAATACCGACGGAATATGGAGGATAGGTTGCGGTGGTGGAGGAGCACTGCCTGTTTTTCAGGTATTGAAGGTCGGTTACAAAGACTAGATGTTAGATCTTCCTTTTGTGAACCCAGCTTGATACCGATTTCCACCTCGTTTTGTGAACTTTCAAGAGGATAAATGAGGAGTGTGTGTTCTGGGAAAAATGATACTTATGGAGCGACATGACATGTACAAAGACGGAAACGGAGGGCGACAGAAGCTTGTTTGTTTGAAGAACTCGGGAGGTGAGCATGAGCCTCAACATCATACCGGTCCCTTGGTGCAGTGGTAGCATAGCAGACTTCGAATCTGTCGGTCGTCGGTTCGAATCCGGCAGGGATCTAATAGGAATACCTTTTTTGACCTCCAATAGGGAGCATTGTTAACCAGACGTCCGTGCTGTGCTGTTTGCTCACGTCGACAGACTGTGCATGTTGTTGGTATTTACCCGTTGTACTTAGCTTGAGTTTCGTATCTCACCCTTTAGTTCACCTGTAAGTACTTCACACTTTACCCTTTTTGTCCTCTTGCTTATTACTTTGTACTTGTGCAGTTCTTCTATAGTTCCACCTTTGTTGTAGTATTATTTGGAAGTTTAGTTTAGTTATGGAATTGGGTTCGAGCCTGGCAAGTCGTTTTATGCTTTTGTCACTTTGTCACTCCTAAATCCGGAACGAAGTAACATAGATAGGTTGTAGCCCTAGGTCTCCTTAAGAGGCCTTGGACAGGGTTGGCCTCGCCACCCAGATTTGACGTTTATATAAGACAGCCAGAAAGGTTGTAAGTTTTGCCTCTATGATTTATGAAACACGCTTTTCCTCCCTAACATCCTGATCAGCGCCTTGGTTGTACTAACTATAATACTGAGTAATCTTGCTAGATTCGCTACTATTAGTGGTCTGCATATCACATTCAGTAAGTTAACGGCTTACCGTATCCGATACAAATAGTCGTGAAGCATAATCCTATCTGACAATCCCACTTAAAGATCTTGCACTGTTCATAGATAGTTATATATCTTCTATATATACCATTGATTGTTACAACGTTGGCTGACCCTTACATCACCCCTTTAGTTCACCTTCGATTACAGATCTACCTTAAGTGTAAGACTTCTCAAAGACTAGCTATCGTTGTCTTCAAGTCAGTGTATTGACAGGTGTCGTCTCTTGTAACATGAATAGTATAATTATGGCACCATCCTATTACAACGGTCGTGCCATTCCAGCTCTCTAGTAAGCTACACCACATACTCGTGACACTTTTGATGGCGCGATTCAAATTAAACAGATTGCCATGTACCGTGACATAGGCTGACGAATGGACCCCTCCACCAATGACTGAAACGAAGGAAGTGAGGGTAGAACGACGTCCATTAGCCAAAAGGCTTCTGTGATCAAAGCAGTTCACTTTGGGTCCCCGAAATAACGTTCATAGAAAACTAGGATTCCTCTCTTCAGGCAAATGGCTTATCTCTGGAATTGCTCGTTTCAGGCAGATGGTTTGTTCAATGAGGAATGTTTTGGGATTGCAGTCATTCCACCGAGTTACAACATCCTTCCTAGGGAGACTCACGTTTTCTGGAGGGTCAGGGGCGGCGCGAAGCGAAGCTACAACCTTGGAGTGTTGCGACTAACATGTACATATAATGTACCTAGTTTGCGAAATATGCTGACAGATGAGCACTTCGGTCCCTAAGTTCAGTTTAGTGTCAGTGTAGAGAAACGACTCTTACTGTACCTTACGATAGCTGCTCCTAATACTATTTCACCTATACACGTCATATCCGATTACAATAGCTTCTTCCTAACAACTCAACAAGAATCCCAACTACTGTTGACGCGCAACAGGCGAGCCTCTACTCTAGCGCCTCAGCTGCTGATGGACATCAGCCGGTGCGGACCGCCAATGATCATCACCCTCTGATCATCACCTACTGATCATCACCCGCTGCGAGTCATCTCCTGAGCTTCGCCAGCAGCTGCTCATCTATATAAAGGAAGCTTCATGGCTACTACTTGTAACTTAGTTTGAAGAGGACTCACGCAATATTGGATCAAGTAATTTGATGCTATACTTTCAGTATTGAAGATCAAGGACCCGCGACCCTTACGTCATCAGATACAAGTATCATCGACTGGCTATAGTCGCTAAGACAGGTGAGTATTACATAACAACTGTGTAGCTCCGAGCCATTAGACCGTTATAGTAGACAAGTATACAACATCGACAAGCTTTGACTTACGACACTCGTACCGTAGGGAACGAGTATAGGTCTGCTTAGAGAAAGTAACTTGGCTCTTAACAGTCAGTAAACATCTTCAGCTCCCCTCGCATGCTCTATGTGGATCGAGCGCACAGCAACTTCATCCTTGATCTATATTTCGTCCTTGCTAGCATGATGTCCTCCTCTTACTTAATTTTGGCGTTGACTGAAGCAGAGGCTGTAGTATCTGGAATTTGGACCGACCTTCTTGGTGATTCCCATCTACTCAAAGAGCTGAAACTATGCCGTTCCTATGCCAATTCTGTCATGTTTATTTAGAATGGACCAACCGCAACAGAGCTTCTCTATATTCATAGTTTTCGTCGATTCAGCACACGTAGATTCCGATGTTCGGAGGCCCCGAGTCTCTGTCCATATATCGTAAGCATACTGAACGGTTTGTCTAGTCCTCTGATCTCTTCGACAACTTTGCTTTTACGATATCGTACTGATTCGCAGTTATCCTGGTGATCGTGTCCGAACAGGGTTGTCAACTGATTCACGTATGTAAGTAAGTCCTTAAGCTCGGGCAACTCAAAGTTTGGAAAGCTAAAGCGTCGCGGCAACCCGAGGCGACAATTTGTTCAAAAAATCTTCTTTGTCAGAAGGCGGAATGACTTCGTCCGAACTCTGGGTGTTATTCTCTTTCACTCTCCCGTGCAAGAAGTGCACCAGAGGTATAGATAGCCTTACTACTCAATCATATACGCTGACAGGGTTAACTACAGCCGACATGAGGAAACAGCACAGCATGGGACGTCTGGTTATCCTCAATTCCTATCTTAGGCCAAAAAGTTATTCCTATTAGATCCCTGCCGGATTCGAACCGACGACCGACAGATTCGAAGTCTGCTATGCTACCACTGCACCAAGGGACCGGTGTGATGTTGAGGTTTGCCTCTTGAAATCGTCACAGCAAACACGCAAGCTCCTGTTGTCGTCCGTTTTCTTCTTTGTACACGTCATGTCGCTTGATCAGTATTGCTTTCTTCTTTACGTCTGGTTTTCTGGTCTTTGGGTTGCTAAAACGACGTTCAAATACATGCAGAGGCTAACCAGCTGGCTAAGCGGGACTCATTCGCTGGAGCGTAGCACCTTACCTGCGTGTTTTCTTACCTGGCCATTCATTCGGCGATGACAAGTACCGCTTCTTAACCGACGATTTCGATTGACTCATTTTATGGTCGTCCGGTGTGGCAGTACTCTGATGGCGCGAAAGAGCGAAGCGATCCTTTCAAGGGTGTACTGGTTTACCCTGCGAAAAAAGAGCATCGTTTAAAACGCCAAACGAGCAGAACGCGACTGAGTTCGGCGGTTTGAACGCTGTTTGCGGTTCGGTGGTTGTGGTCGACGAACGACCAGCAGTTTAAACTCAGATCTGGTGAAAGTATCAAACCCCCGAAATGTGAACCGACGTTACATGTTAGACAAAACGGTGGACGGCCTTCCAATAGCTGTGACAATTTCTATGTACGGCAGGCAAGGGAACTCGCCCGGCGACCACTACCTCGAAGCATGTTTTATCCGGCTTCGTTGTGCTTTATCTACTGATTGAAGGAACAAAGTATATACTGGCGCCGTCATCCAGCACCAAGGCGCTATCGATAGATCTCTGTAACCCTACCATTGACTTGCAATCTTTCAGGTTTTACAAAGAGAGCCTGCTGAATTCCATTTTGAAAGAGACTTATGCCCTCGACAGTCGACCATAAAGAGTGGGTAGAAATTCACAGACCACAGGTCTCAAGGTATGTGAAGCTCGCGTCCAGCGATATTATTGCTTCTAAGCAAATCGACGTCTGTGATGCGCTGATGTGGCCGTGGAACGCAATGCGCGATTTAGACGACGAACGAACAGCGGATAAATCCTTCCAATGGTGTACTAGTATAGATGACACGGAATTCCTTTTCGGATAACTTTGCTGGCTGACATGTCAATCGCAGCATTGGCCGGCGTGTCTCTATCATTGCAGCATTGCGGAACTGCATCTTGCAAGCCATGGGAGTACATTATACACGGTGTATAGGACGGACGCGTGTGACAATGGAACGTTCTCAAATATCATGCAAGGCATATGCTATGAAAATACATTTAAACCACTCGATACACACATGATGCAAGTTACAAACCTATCCAACTAGATCGACCTCCAGGGTTATGCAATGCCGTTTGACCGATCTTGATCCGATGATCTCCCCCACCTGACGCATGGCCCAAACCTGCACTGAGGGGCAGAGGACTGTTGGGCGCATCCATCATCGGACTGTACATCGGCATCCCCCCGCTGGCGTTTGAAGCATGCGAAACGACTCGTCCTCCACTGATGCTGCCAGCAGATGAGGGCGTATATCCGTTTCCTGTTTGATGACTGACGCTACCGTTGAAAGACAAGAACGATTCCGCGTGCCATTCGTACCATACTTTCTTCGACTTGGGATCCGTTAGACGCCAGATATGGACATCCAGTTCAGCACCCGAAGGTAGGTAGAGTGGTTCCTAAAAGGGGAGGGTAAGCTTTCCGCAAGCAAAGGAGGTAAACGCCAGACCCACCTTGAGCGGGAAGAACAAGGGGAACCAGCTCATCATGTCGGGACTAATCATGCTCATTCGTTCAGGGTGGATACTCAAACCGACGTTTCCGTACAGATGTGCCTCAAAGTAGCCCGCGAGACCGTGTAGCGTTCCAGCGGTAGGAATTCGGAACGTCAATTGCGCCGCTCGGGTGTTGTGCGAGTTGGTAAACGGTACACCTATCACAGAGAGGTCAGCATTGAGACACCGCATTTGGGCAGCCGGACGCACCTCTTGAATCTAGCACCATATCCCGTCTCGGATGTTCAAAGCTCCAGCATTCTTGGATCTTCGGTCCGCAACGTCCCGGTCCGGCCGGTGTCCCACTGAGGATCGTAGCTTGCTGGAACATGACAACGTATGGTGTCTCTGTCGCAATCTCTTGATTCTTGTTCTTCTTGGTCGCATAGTCTTGCACCTCGCAATGCAGCTTCGAGGAAGAGAGCGGCGCGAGGTGGGCCGTGTATGATGCAGGGATCGAGATTCCTTCGGCTGTTCAGTGCGA